ATGACAATGTAATTAATGAAATGAAACCAGATTTATAATTAAATGGTTTTAAAAAATCGTGTCAGAAAATATAAAATTTTAAGCTGAAAAAGAACTATGAAATTAAACAGGCCTTATTAAAGATTGTGTGTATTAAATTTTAAAATTTCAAGCTTAAAAAAAACTATGAGATTAAACAGAGAAAATAGCAGATGAAAAAATGTAATATTCAAACAGACTTCCTAGATAAATGTTTGTACTGTACTGTGCTGAGATTATCATGAAATATCATGAAAGAAAAAAAAATTCAATCTTTTCAATTAAATGTGAAAGTTTGTCATATTTTAAATTAACACAAAAAACATCTATCTAAAAATGTCAGTGTCAAATATGAGGCAATAACTTATGTAGATGTTAGAAGCTGAGCTTGGTTTGTTGTTCCCCCAATGCTGGAAATATTGCAAACCCCTTAACCCGCAAATTCTCTATACAATTAATTCAAAATAACTCCAACCTCCCCCACCCCCCCCCAGATTATAAATTTGTACAACTGTTCTCAATGTCAAATTCTAAAAATGTCAACTTAAACTTAATTACAATTTGTAGTAAATATTTCAAATGAGAAAAGAAAAAAGGGGGGGGGGTGAGGGGGTGTTTGAAAAAACATGTTGACCCACTTGAAATTAATTATCTTAATAAACCAAAAAAATGCTTTATCATAATCTAACTAATTTTTTTAATAATCAGAGCTTACCTTTTGCAACATCAGCATCTACAACAAAATCTGCTTCCTGCTTAGTGTCAACTGTTTAGAATAATTTATGAGGGTAAAAAAAAACTAAGAATTTTCAAGTGCTTGAACTGGGAATCATCCTAAAAGTTAAGGTAGCATAAGACAAACAGCAAACTTGATTGTTCATTTTTATTTATCCATGCTAAACTAACTTTGTCTGAAATCAGGTCAAAATCTCCTGGCAATTTTCCTTGAGCATGAATTATAAATGTTTAAGTGAGGCTAACAGCACTTTAAAATAGTACACCATAAACAAAAACTCAAGCTTCCTACCAGTCTCTGACTGGGACTTGTGGATGTCAGCAGTTGTTTCAATCACAGACTCAGTGCTGATTACAGGGGCTTTTCCCTGCAAAGATGTTTAATTTTGATTGCATCTAATTTTCTTGAGATATAAATTTTATATAAATTATAAAACCTGTCAGGGAATTAAATATATTGAATGGTTGTCTTTGTTTACCTCCTTGTTTCCGCTATCACTTTTAGACGATCTGCCGCTGCCGCTGCCACTGCTACGACCACTAACACTGGAAGAGCTGCTGCTGCTACCACTGTCAGAATCACTTTCAGAGCCACTCTCAGAATCACTCTTATCTTCTGCAGCAAGGAGAAATCCAAATTAATGAATTCATTGCAGGACTTACATTAATTAATTTATTTTTTCCTTTTTGGCAAGTAAATTTCTTGAGTTTTTTTTTGTTATGGTCTGGGCCTATTGAATATCACGACAGATTGTGTCAACAATAAGACATACTGCATGTGTCAACAATAAGACATACTGCATGTGTCAACAATAAGACTTACTGCACCAACAAAGGAAACATTACTCTGTTTTTGTTTTTGTTTACTTACTGCCTTCTACACAGAGAAGCACTAGCTGAGCTTAGAAGAATTTTCTATACACCAGATTTTTAAAGTGATTTGTTATGGGTCTGGTCCTTTTGAATGGTGTGCAGAGAAATTAAAGTATAGATGAGGCAGTGTAGGATAAAGAGTGATGAGAAAAAATGGATTTCCCCTTTGTGCCAATGACTTGTTTCACTCAAATGACTAACTTGTATTTATTCTCCAGTAAATGTCCCCATATGAAAATGTGAACCTGTCTTTATGACTCGATGTAAGTTTTTTTCAAATCAGTAGTTGTCCTTCTTTATTATTTTGAAGCCCATGGAGACACCATAAATAAATAAGCAAAAGGTAAAATTACAATGTTTTCTATATTTTGTTACATGCAGTTATTTCCCCTCATTCTCTTACCTCCCTTCTCCTTCACCAAATCTACAGTTATTGGTCCTGGCATTGTGATAGGTGCTGGTGGAGGACGTAAAGGGGCAATAATTGGAACATTTTCAGCTTCATCGTGCTCACTGACTTCATTGTTTTCATCTTGTCTGACAATCTGTGTTTTCTCCTCTTCTCCAAACAGCGACTTTTCTTCCACCTCAAGGAGAGCATTCTCTTCTTCTAAAAAAAGAGAGTTATCGTCCTCAATACTCAACTGAGGCTCCTTTTCAAATTTACCAATACTCTTGTCATCAAGAGGCTCTCTCTTTGCCACAGTTAGGTCTGTACCCTGTTCTTGTCTGGGGGTGTTCTCCGGGATGTTAAGGGATCCAGAGGATGATGATGAGGATGAAGAGGATGATGATGAAGCCGAGGAAGAGGAAGATGAGGACCTAACTGAAGTTTCTGTAGATTTTGAAATATCAATGAAAACAATTGAGAAACTAAAAAAAACTATTTTTAAACTTCAATATGAAAACATAGGTTTGTTATGAACCAAAACTAAGACCATCGGTGAACGCTCCTTCTACTTCCATGGGCCCACGTTCTGGAACCAGCTCCCCTTCCATATCCGTCATTGTGAAACCTCGTTCACTTTTAAAAAGTCCCTTAAAACCCATCTGTTTATCTAGGTCCGCCTATGATCTGTGATGCACCCTCCTTGCCCTGCCTCATTTTCTGTCTCGGGTTAATCCTGTAATATAGGCCAAAACATGCCAAAGTGTCCTCGTTTTATAGCCATTTTAAATGTTTCTATAGTATAGTAGTTACTATCGTAATGTCTCATTTTTATTTTAGTTAGTTTACATGTTTTTAATAATTGTAAAGCGCTTAGAGCTTTAAGGTAAGCGCTATATAAAAATGCCTAAGTAAATAAATAAATATGTGACATGATGTTTGCAACAGACAGTGTCTACATAAGAGTTAGGCAGATCTCAATAGGGGGTTGTTCGTAATTTATGTCACGCAAAAAATTACCTTTTTTTAGACCCCCCCCCCCCCCGTCACGGAATGTTAAATTGCAAATCAAGTTTAAAATAATTTTTTATTAAAAATTATTAGATATATGCTTGTTAAAGTGTAATTGTAAATAAATTGAATGCTAGGATTTGGAGCAACATACTAAAAATTAAACCAACTTTGCTCTGAAATATAATGTCATAATATTGATAAAGTAAATTACCTAAGAATTAGATATTGATCTAATTATAAATAGACTAGAAATAATGGACAAAGTTGAAGATATAGGAAATTTGTGTACAACTTGTAAAATAATTGATTTAAAAAAGCTGAGACAGAGAAAAATCATTGAGTCAAGATTATATTTCATCATAATAACAGTATTTTTAAAGCACATTTGATTGTTCACTGTAGCAACAAAAAAAAAAAGGTGTAAATTGAAGCCCTATAACTTATGATTTATAGTAAAAATTGCATGGTAAAAAGCCCATTGTTTATAAAGCATGCTACAAAGATTTCTCCATTCATTCACTTTTGCCTCAATGGCTTTTTTTACCACAAGAAATCAACAAGCATAGTATATTTTTAATATTTTTAGTGTTTAGAAACAGTATTTTACATTATTTAGTTATATATAAGCTATTAATTGATTTTTTGTGTTTTAAAAAAAATATATTCAGGTATATTTGTCATGATCTGAAGTAATTTTTAAACATGGTTTTCTCCTTCATTGTGGAAACCTTCTTAGTCAAATAATTATTACCCCCTCCTGTGACCATCTGCCCTTGAAAAAATCATTAAACAGCCTAAATTCATACAGTAAATAGGATTACCAGATGTGTTTCATAATTTTACACAGTTTTATAGAGCAGAAACAGTATGTCAGTGCTGAACATCCTGAATGCTGCTTAGCAGTGAATAGAAGTGAAATTATTTCAACAACAAAAAAGGAAAAACAATTTTGTAGTGTATTAATTAATTTAAGATAAGATAAAAATTCTTTTATTAATCCAAATAAATGGAAATGTTTTTTTATTACATTTTACATATTCAATTTCAGCACATAAATAAATACACATTATAATCAAGCCAACATTTTATGATTATAACAATTTAAACAAAAGACATCTAAAAGTATTTCTCTTGTGTAAAAATCAGCCATCATATACCATGAAAATTAAATCTCTTATAGACAATAATGACTTAATTAGAGATAATTTATTTATGTAACCACTGAGGGAGCATGCAGCAATTCTGACAGACTGGGGAACAACTAATTTTTATATCTTGCAGTCCTAACTTTAAGAGAAAGAATTCAGCCTGATCGAGATGATTTTAGGTATCTGTTGTGATGTAGAGGGTAAGACGTATGATCCAAAAAATTTTTTAGTTTTACAACAGTATTTTTCATCAAGTAGAGGATGTTTAGTTTGTGTGACATTACTAGCTTTCTTGATCAGTCTATTCAATCAGTGTTCCATGTAAGTCATGAATTCCCTCACAAGCAGGTAATACTGAATTTCAGTAGGCTTGCAATTTTTGCATTATAGAAAAAGTTATAACTGTTTTGTTTACACTGAAATTGTATAAAATTTTAAGATAGAAAAGTTAGCCATGTTAGCTTATTATTAATAGTGACAACTAGGTGCTTATATGTCTCTACTTGTCCTATACTGTAAATTTTTTATTTCGAGATATGCAATTGGGTGCATACCCCTCCGGAAATGGATAACCATCAAGGACATAATTTTTAAAATTAGTATAATCTTTCTTGCAGGTCATATCACAGGGTTACTAACAGTGCCAAGTGTTGTTGAATTCCAGGGAACTGGGCCGCCATATTTGAACATTACAAGGAATCAAAATGTTAACTCCAATAAGAAAGCCCGTTTGACTGCATTTTTTTGCAAAATAATTACTCTACACTTTTGTTGAGGGCTGTATATTTAGAAATGTCCTCAAGTAGTTGATTGGATATTTTGTTGCCAGCTAAATTTATCTCCAGGATTGATGTATTACGCTTTAGAAGCTCTATAATAAATTTTCCTCCCTGATCTGTTATGCCAATATTGTTAAGATCTAAGGCCAAAATGGATGTGTTTTCAAACAATCCTTTGGTCAGCTCCTCAATCCCTTCATTCCCGATATGATTGTGGTCAAGCGTTAGTGTCTCCAGATGCCTGGTTTTTTGAATGGCTTGTGAAAGTTCCTTCCAGCCCTCAAGCGTAATCCCTTTGTTAAGGGACAGGTTAAGGGTGTCTATGGCCATGTCTGAGCGGATAAGGGTGCAGAGAGCTTTGACACCCTTGTCTCCAATGCCGGATTTTGTGAGATCCAGCTCATGCAGTTCCTTAACATTATCAAAATCAACAGAGTCACTTGAGGTAATGGTAGCCTCAGCCACATCGCCATCTTTATTAAACTGCAGGGTGAGATGTAAATAATATTTTTTCAGAAGTGAAAAGTAGAAAAGATTTGCACTTATGATCGAAATTGTAACAAGTTAGGACATTTATTCATTTTATACAATAAAATAATGATTATAAAAAAACATGTTCATCAATGCTTTTAATATAGAACCAATCTCAAATGATAAGAAATATTTACCGTACTTAATAATAATGGCTCAGAGTTTTAATAAATTATATTTATGGAAAATTGTTAAATTTTGAAATGAAACCTCGGTTTGTATCAGACCACAGTGCCAGTCTCATCTGTTATTTGACTGCAATTCATTGGCCATTAGAAAGATTTTTATAGATGCACTATCAAATTATATTTATAAAAGTATAATTAATACTGAAATGTTCTACAATTTTTAATTTTATTAGTTTACCGAACTTCACTTTAATTTAAATTAATAATCTCATTCATGTAACTAAACCTATTTTAAAAATGTAAAGCATATGAAAATGAAATCATCATTATAATAGTTTTCATTTTCATGGATCATCCCCCGCTAATTAATAAATCCTAAATTATAAGAAAGACATTGTTGGTATACAAACTGTTACTTTTTAAAATGGTTTTCTACATAGACATTGAACCCACCTTCTCCCTGTGCTGTTTGAGAAGCCCATCCACTAGTTTCTGAATGCCCTCATCTCCTAGGTGGGTGCCTTGCAGTCTGTGAAATAGGAATTACTTAAATTAGATCAATTTTTTTTTGGTTATATCTCTGTTCAAAGCTTTGGTGAACAAGACTCGTACCGGGTACTCGAGTAGGCATGACAGAACTACAGAACTATTTACCAGAAGGTGCAACAATACTCTAAAGGGTTTATTGTTAAGTGTTGTCTAGAACTTTAATGTAACAAAACAGGGAGACATTTAATAATAAGTTCTATCCATTTATGATAATGGGGGGGGGGGGGGAGCGCAATCAGGTTGTTTCACTTATTTCCTTCTATCGGTTTACTAAGGTAATATCAGTTTCAGTCAGAGAAGATATCAAATAAGAAACTACATCAATTTTATGTCTTTATAGTATAGTTGTTTCAGTCTTAGTGAGAGAGCAGGCAGACTGCAAAGAATAAACTGAGTGTGTACAAGTAATCATAGTTGGAAAGTTCCCTTACAAGATGGCTTCAATGGATGGTTTGTCCTTGGCCAGAGCCAGTAGGTCATCCACACAGTTGACAGTCAAAGGATTGAAGCTAAAATTTAACACCTGAAAATAAAATATATGTATTTTTTTAAATATGCAACATAATTATCAGAGAGTTCAACATCCGACCAATCATAATTAACAGAGAGTTCAACATCCTATCAATCATAACTAACAGAGAGTTCAACATCCGACCAATCATAATTAACAGAGAGTTCAACATCCTATCAATCATAACTAACAGAGAGTTCAACATCCTACCAATCATAATTAACAGAGAGTTCAACATCCGACCAATCATAATTAACAGAGAGATCAGCATCCTACCAATCATAATTAACAGAGAGTTCAACATCCTATCAATCAGAATTAACAGAGAGTTCTACATCCTACCAATCATAATTAACAGAGAGTTCTACATCCTACCATTCATAATTAACAGAGAGTTCAACATCCTACCAATCATAATTAACAGAGAGTTCAACATCCGACCAATCATAATTAACAGAGAGATCAGCATCCTACCAATCATAATTAACAGAGAGTTCAACATCCTACCAATCAGAATTAACAGAGAGATCAGCATCCTACCAATCAGAATTAAAATGTTGGACACTTAATTTTAAAAAACCCTCTGGACAATCTGCGCCATTCTCTAAATCACACCCCCCCTTCCCCCATTACACTTTTGGTTAAGCTCATTTTCAACACAAAACCATTTCCACCAGCATTCATAGATGACAATAGTGTCATTTCTGCATTTCTTTAAGTCAAATAAGGGTTCATGAGGATTTTTACTTACTTCTTTTTTAACTTCAGAATCCCATTCCATGTAAAAAGTTAAATTTAATTATCTGTAATTTCAGAGCTTTTTATTCCAGTAAACCTCACATTATGAGGAAATCTATTGGACTTTAAACCCAAATCCAAAATAACAGTAAGATTGATAAGGGGGGGCTGAGACATCTTCAGCGTGTGATGCCTGACATAAGAAAGATGTTTAGGGCAGTCTGAGCCAACCCTCACTTTTGCTAGCGGAAGATTGGCTGACACGCTATGATTCTACTACTCACAACAGGGTTGGCTGGTGATTTTCTCACAGCCGTCCCTAGCACATGGAGGTCCTTATCATGCAAGCCACAGTTGACAAAATGCATCTGATCCATTGCCTGTTTGTTTAGCAGAAACATGACACTCTCGTCAATCTGTGAATAGGAATTTATTGAATCGTTAATAAGCCTAACATGACAATGACACTCTAGTCAATCTGTGAAGAGGAATTTATTGAATCTCTAATAAGCCTAACATGACAATGACACTCTCGCCAATCTGTGAAGAGGAATTTATCGAATGGTCAATAAGCCTATCAACAAGAGGTTTCTTTAGTGGAGTAAATTTTGCAATGCTTTTTAATCTAATCTGGTCTGTCCCCAAGAGCTTTAAAGTTATTTTGAATTAGTCTTTGCTGGTACCGGTACTATTTAATGATTTATAGGTCAAGTCCAAGAAGCCCACGCTCACAAAAGTTATGGGATTTTAAATTTGATTTTAAAGAAATGAAGAAACTTCTGTTAATATTCTGTTGACCTAATGGTTGTCCACTGATAATATAATGACTTTTTCTCTTACTCACATTTTGGGTACCACACTACATAAAACCGCTTATAATAATAATGAGTAAGACTTCATCAAAGCTGGTGAAACTGAATATTCAGATGTGGAAATAGAGGCCCTGGATGGAGGCTCTTAGTTTTATTTTTAATGAATGTGAGTTTTGTTGACTGCATTGTTAGGCCAAGTGGTATACATCACTGGTACCGGTACACATTAAGCATTGGTAGATGAGGTGGTATACATCCCTGGTACATGTCAAGGGTATGAGAATCATTGTTGTTATGTGTAGATCATTGTCTTCATGTTTGATAGGGAAAAGATGTTTAGTTAGAGATTTTATGTGTAGCTGTATCGTGGGTGTGAGAGTGTTGTGATGTAATTGTTTAAGGGGATATGACGCGTTAGTTTTGTCAATGTTGTGATGGAAGATTGATGGCGGATATACTGGATGAACTGTTTGGATTTCTATATTGAGTAGTGTTTGGTTGGAGTGATTTGATTATCAATTCTGAAATGATACATCAACCATAGTCAATGGAGTAGTGTTAAATAAAACTTCTATCTAGCTACAAACCTGTTAACGTTGGTTGTATTATTAACTGTTGATATTAGCTATACTGTTCGTGGGATCAAGTGAGAGACTGGGCCAGACAAGTAGACACTCATTGCCATGAGTGGATAATTACAACACAACAGATTCAACGGTTCGACAGTACACATTAAGCATTTGTAGGCCAGGTGGTATCATCCCTGGTACACATTAAGCATTGGTAGGCCAGGTGGTATCATCCCTGGTACACATTAAGCAATGGTAGACCAGGTGGTATACATCCCTGGTACACATTAAGCATTGGTAGACCAGGTGGTATACATCCCTGGTACACATTAGGGATTGGTAGACCAGGTGGTATACATACCTGGCACACATTAGCGATTGGTAGACCAGGTGGTATACATGCCTAGTACACTTTAAGCATTGGTAGACCAGGTGGTATACATCCCTGCTACACTTTAAGCATTGGTAGACCAGATGGTATACATCCTTGGTACACATTAGGCATTGGTAGACCAGGTGGTATGCATCCCTGGTACACATTAAGCCTGCCAGGTAAGTTAGCTGACACCTGGGGCAAGATTTGGGCAGAGATTTGATTGATCGCTAGCAAGCCCATTGGTACCTGGGATTTAGTCAGCAGCACTCCCTTGATGTCGACGATTTGCTGTGCTTTTTGCAGCTCTGGTAGAATACTTCCCGCCCTGGGTTCTGGTGGTTCCGGAGCAGCTATAGGGTCTGGTGTTGAATGGGAAATTGTACTGATGCCCTCTTTAAAATTGCCTGGGTGATTATAAATTTGTACAACTGTTCTCAATGTCAAATTCTAAAAATGTCAACTTAAACTTAATTACAATTTGTAGTAAATATTTCAAATGAGAAAAGAAAAAAAGGGGGGGGGGTGAGGGGGTGTTTGAAAAAACATGTTGACCCACTTGAAATTAATTATCTTAATAAACCAAAAAAATGCTTTATCATAATCTAACTAATTTTTTTAATAATCAAAACTTACCTTTTGCAACATAAACATCTA